TAATACATTTTCAAACGTATAACAGAGATATTTTTGATGACAATTACGTTGATTTCATAAAGGGCTTTAAAGATGTCCGTGAGATGTTAGGAAGCGTCAGTTCTAAGACAAGCAGTAAAACCAGCGGTAAAAGCACAGTAAATACTAACAAGGTCCAGGAGACCCCGTTTTATAGTCATGTCCTGTTTAATTTAGGGTAGAAGGATTCTCTGAAACACTTTTCTCCTTGAACTTATTGCACTTTTTAATAAAAAAAATGATCTAATATAAAGGCTTTTATATGACTTTTGATTTATTATTCAACGACACTTTTGATTTTGATAGTGTTTTATATGGCGTTACCTTTAGAAAACTGATTTGTTTTAAAAATTATTTTACAAATATAGTATTGGATTATTTTTCAGATTCATTGAGTCAATAAACATATAGGTTTTTAGTAGAGTACGAAAATTAACGCTAGCCACTAAGTAGGTTAGTTGTTTTTATATAAAGAGAAGCGGAAGATAACTCTACTGGGGATACAATAATCTCTTACGACATTCTTTGTACAATCTCTCTAACAATAATCTCCGGTAAAACCTATAGGCCAGATTTTGAATTCTTGATTTTGAATCTATTTAACCATAAGATTTTGAAAGTGAAGTAGTAGAACGGTATCCCAAAAACTAATCTATTCCCAAGAGTTTGACTAAATGAAAATAAATGTTGTTCATTAATATACCTATATAACATACCTGAATATATACGTTTTGAACCCAGTGATGCGTCATGGTTAGTTTGTTCAGTAGGCTATCATATTTAAAACTATTCTGCTAGAATCGCACTTGTTATAATATTATTTTTTATGTTTTTTGGATGTGAGTTGTAGAGGTTTATTCCCTTTTATTTTTATTGTATTTTATCTGATATGTCATAGATTTAGATTTTAATGTATTAATTTTGTTCCAGGAGTGAAGTGGTGGTTCCTGTAGTGATTATCTGTTGTACCTGCATAGTTGGTGTGTCGTGTGCTTCAAGAGGCCAGGATGGTAAGTTAATATCTGCTACACCAACCTTTTCTTTTCAAATTATGTTTTTAGCGAATTTCCCTATAGGGAAGTAGCTATTACCGTAGGTCTCATGGTAAGACTTAGGCCCGGGACCGATTTACTTTTTCATTTTAATGTCCCCAGAGGCCAAAAACACCATTCGTTCAAATTTTTATATATGTATATATATATATATATATATAGGTATATATATATATAGATTTATATATATATATATGTGTCCGTGAACACGATAACTTGAGTAATTTTTATCCGATTTTGATGAAATTTGGTTTGAAGGTGTAAGGCGGGATAAACTTGAATGAGTTCGCGATCCAGCATGATCGGACCATGGGAACAGGGTTTTATGGGGGGTTTTATGGGGTAAAAATTGGTTTTTCTCACTTTTTACCCTCAAAACACAAAATTTCCCAATTTTTCTCTAAACCTTCTTAAAGAGCTTAAAAAAACAAACAATTCAGTATATCAAAGTGTTTTTGTACGGTTATTGGTTACGGATAAAACTAAAAAAATTGTAAATTTAAAATTCCCATGTTATTCTTATGGAGAATATTGTAAAATGTTGTAGTTTGCTTGTTTATGGATATATTTTGATCAAACTTGGCAAATTTATTTATTTTATAGTAAGCTATCAATATTTTACTAAAAACACACTACTTTATTAGTTTCCTTGTAGCAGCAAACCTAGGTACTCGTTAAACCTAATGTTATTTAAATAGATCAATTGAAAATCAATTCGGCCAAATGGAAATTCGCTTAGACGGCAGGTTTGCTGCGGCGGGGGTATTATATGAATGAAATTAGATTTCAGTTTATTTCGGTTATCCATTTACTGTAATGGAACTTGTAACAATGAACATGTACAATATCATTCGTTTTAAAGCTAATTGTTTAATTACTCATGTTGTGTTACCTCATAATCTAGACACGGGGAAATAGTTGAGTCATAAATGTCTACCCATTTTTTAATTAAGTATCCATTGTTAAATGGAACAATGAACTAGTTTCGAATGAATAGGGAATTCTTCGTAAAAGACGTAATCACATAAAGTCCCAACACATAAAACGTTAACTGTGGAGCGATATAGCACAGTCAGCTAAACTGTGACGTATTGAAAATCCCCGGTACAGTCATTTAAACACGTGCACATAGTTATAGCTAGTTATACTGTTGTTGCTAATTCGGATGAAAGTGTTTACTTCATTACCGTTAATAAGTATTAAAAGCAACAAAGAAATGTACTTTTCAGTAATAAAGAGACATCGCAAACAATTATGTATCAGTTTTTCAACTTTCATACCTATAAATTCTAAAATAAGTTTCATATGGAACAATACTTAATGGTTTTTGTAAAAAATGATTACATTTAAGATGGGTATTAGATTGCTTAAGGACTTATACAAGATAAAATCTATAAAACTACTGACAGAAGTTTAAAGGACTTCTTACAATCTTTCAATGAACATAAAATGATTAATACAACGTAGACAATTTCATGTTTAGACACCTATAAACTCACCGAGTAATAAGTTGTTTGTAACATTATTTACCATTCCTCACAGTTAACTCATAAAATTCTACTTTATTTTTATTTTTGGTGTAACACATATCGTCGTTGTTTTAAACTGAAAATATGGGTAAAAATATGAATGTAGGTATAATGTTTTACTAAATCAATTTAGGTATATAGAAGTAACAATCATATATTACTGGACAGTGAATAACAACCACCTCTTTTTTTTAAAGGTTGGCGGCCTCTTTTAACCTTGCATTTGCCCGTCCACATAGACTAAGCGCCCGTGCGTGGATCGTTTACAACAAAGCAAGGAGTGAGCCGGTACAGTACAAAGGTGAACTGTACTGATAAAATGTTATCGGCAGTGACCAGGATCCGAACCCACGACACTACTGCCTTGGGCCCGAAGTCCGTGACGCTACCGACTGAGCCACCGACTCACTAAATTCACCTCATATTCGTTGTTTGATCAGTTCGTGTAGGCATTTTAAAATCTATTATTTCCGATATCCATCTGGCTTGAACCCGACACAATCCGAAAATAATCCATATAAATACACTTTATATAGTCTGTATGATACTATCTTACAACATTTTGATAGACAGTTTAAATATATATTTTATCTAATTTAATGGCCTGTTCACTACCGATAACACCATTTATATAAAATAAATATCTCAATGAAGACTAACAATAATGTTGAATAATTTTTTAATGGCATTAAACATTAAAGTAAAGTTTAAAGTTCAACTAGTAGAAGTGGAGGCTGCTATCAAGAGTCTGTTTGCTTTTCTCCCTATAAACATAACTTCACAAACCTTCTGATCAACTGTTTGAGTTTCCCACACGTACTGTGTTTGGTTAATCAGCTGTAATTGCTGATGTTTGAGTAAAATCAACGCAAACTAACCACACTGTTGGTTGTATGAGAACAAACGTTAAATGCATTATTTTCAAGGTGTAATGCAAATGTTTATGTAAATGTTATATGTTTAAGAAAAAAAAAACTTCCTATTCAAGTATTTGTTTACTTGTATAATCCTCGAGTTATCTCTTATGATATGTTATTCTGAGAAACCTATAGGTAATGTTAAAAAGATTTCGACTGTAGACTGGATTCAAGGAGATAAATATAATTTATTAGGAAGTTTTCAAATTTTATTCGGAATCGTATTTGCAAGTAGAAACAAAATTTCGCCAAAATAAAAAAAATCGCCTATCTGATGATGATTGGAATGTCCAATCAAAATCTATCACCACTTACCATCTTTGAAATGTATATTTACGGTCTTGTGAGTATCAGTATAAGCGTAAATATATGTTTTAAGTGATAAGACGTTTCTTTTATTTACTTTCTGTAAATTAAATAATACGTACAATGTATTTACCGTCTTCTGAGTAAGCAGTATAAGTGTAAATATATAGTTACAAGTGTAATTTGACTATTTTGTGTGCTTTCAGGTAATAACATTTTTAAATATTTATTTGCTAAATGGTAAATTTTTACTGTAGAATTTTTGCTTGATAAGGTAGTACCGGTTCTTAGTGTTTGAGGAATGTGTGTGCAAAACCATTCAGTATTTTCGGTATTTCATCGGATAAAATCGGCACAACGAGTACTAAACGGGTCCAATTATAAGTTTTTGTATGAATGTATTTTGCCATTCTCCAGGTCACTGAGAGTTATATTTCCTTCAGATTAAATTACTCTTCGGTTATTCAGGAATCACAGATGAACGATAACTTGTCTTCTTCATAAGTAACCTGAGAGGCAAAATGAATGCTCCATGAAACATGGAACTTAAGGATTTTTGTAAGAAAATTATAGATGTGAAGTAGGTATTTTCATCAGGATATAACCCAAACGCTAATCTCTCACGTGCTTTAACATATTTATTTACTTACCATTATGTTTAATCATGAATATATACTGTGTAAATTTACATAATATTTTTTAATTTTTGTATAAGAAATGACTTTTAAATGTGATAAAATAGCTGAGTTGTATAGCCTTTAAAGATGATACATTGTATCATACCTGTAACATCATTGATCTATCTATTTTGACGGAATAGGCAAGACTGCTTTTTCTAATTTGTGAGCAAGAGTTTTTATTTATTTAAACTTATGACGGAAAACTCCTTACAAAGTATTTTGGTTCTAGAGATATGATGAAAAAAAGTTTCATCGTTAATATATCTATATAGTCGTCAGGTTATTAAATAAGCTTGTAAACAAATAAAATTGTTTTCTGTCACAATGGGAATATATTTAACATAGCAGTATCCCAAAACGTCAGAAGTTTTACTGGTGTTCTTTGAAAGCTGCCTGTTTATGTAAGTTATTAGTGTTATCAGACCATGAAAATGGCACAATCGGACAATCGACATGAGTATATAACCAACAACTTCGCTGGTGTTGGCATTGGAAGCTGGGACTTGGCAGTGAACAAAGGTAAGTTATAAATACATTGAAAATATATTTTATTTTACAAATATATAGATGCATTTTTCTTTGTAACACCTTATATAAGAGTTGGATCTATTTTTAAATATTACGTTTTTAGAACTACGATTGTGACTATATCTTTACTTTTGGTTTATTTCGTTGGGATTACTTTATATTTACTGTGTGTCTTTTGACTAAATTTTACCTTAGCCATTTTATTTTGTTTTCTATCCATAAATAAATGTTTTATTGAAAAATACACTATCCACAGGCATACCTATACAATTTTTAAAACAACATAGAGATACACAATAACGTAATGCTTTGGAACGTAACAGGACTGATAGTTGAATGTATAGTCCAGCTTCTAAACTTCGTAAATTTAAACGAACACAAACTTTAATATCTAAACTAAATTTAAATTGAAACTAGTGTATGAAAATTACCTGAAACCCGTATATTTAAGGAGGATGATCGTAGTATTGTGTGAGTTAAAATTGCCTGAAAATGAAAAAAAAAACTATTTCTTACATAAACGGATTTATCTAAGTATTTGTTTTAGGGTGTACAGCATAAATGTTTAACCCTTATTGCATGGATTTGGTTTTGACTTGTAGTTAACTTAGTTGTAACCACACCACTAAGTACTAAGCTGTGAGAAAAAGCTGGTCTAGTGGTAAAGCGCGGGACTTTGGTTTCTGAGGTCCTGTGTTTGTATCCCGCCAATCACCAATGGATTTTATCTGAGTGATAATACAGCAATCCCTAGAAATAGCATGGAGGTATGTGAAAAGGGTACCTGACTAGAAACTAGTCTCTTAGGGGAAAGAAGAAGAACCACTAAGTTGTCTTATTGCTCTGTTTTGGTTGATATGTATTATAACTAATTAATTTGTACTATTTCAGTGTCATTCCCAATCAGAGCGTAGTTTAAACCATGGAGAAGTCGTCCACCATGCTTTGTATAGGAGTTTTGTGGCTATGCTTTGTAAGTAAAAAATGATTACATTTGTTTATTTTTGTTAAAGCTATATATAAAATAGAATTTAAGAAAAATGATCATGTAAAAATTATTTGTTATTTGGATATGTAGGTGAGAACAAAAAGAAGTTTGAGAACAAAATTGATTATTGACGATTGTTGTAGAAAAAAACATAAAGAAATTATCCTTCTTACTGCAACAATAATGTAGGCATACCTTATTGCCAAGGAAATTATTAACGTAGAAGTAAAATAAGCCATTAAAATAATTACAGTATACAGAAAAAATCACACATGTTTAACATTTTGGTGATAGTTATTACATGTATGTTTTACTTATGAACAACTTTAACAAATCTTTTACCAAAGGAGCAAGTTGAAATAATGAAATAATGAAGTAATGAAATGATGATTTATTCCACCCTAATTACATAAAATAAAAATTAAATAAAAACTCGGAATTACGTTGCCACAGTATCCAGTTAATGTGACAGTTTTACAACTTATAACAAATTGTCATTTTAGTTTAAAGATTGTCGTATGGATTTAATTATAACATGTTAAATTTCATATATCATATTGTTTTTTTGTTGTTCTATAAATATATTTGAAATATTGTGTTAGCTTAAATACATAATTAACAGCTTTAAGATTATTCTTTTGACATTATCGGTTTGGTTTATAAAATAGCTTGATAAATACTATAAATACCTCACTACAAAAATATTCAAGTTTATATATTTTTGTATTCTATAGTTTTTTTTAATCAAACGGTATAGGCCTAAATTATTGAATCATTGATTTTTCCCTCAGTATAAAAAAGTTAGACTGTTACAATCTTAAATAATAAATGTTTCGTACAATTATATTTGAAAAATATAAAACACCCTCTTAATTGTGATAATTCAATGTATAGCTTGGTATTTAATTTCAACATATTTTATCTAAAGTGCAATCCTTTGTCAATGTGTGATGTAGTTTCCAAATACATATAACTTAGGATATCACTAAATTTTAGTATTTTTTCATTGCAGGCAAGTGTTACTGGTAACGTAAGTTATATGGTCCATAATTCTGTAACTTTAGGACACCTTTCTCCAGAACAAATGGTTAACACATCTAAAGAAATGGTTATATTCCAAGACGAGCATATTTATGAGAGATGGTGGACGACAGAAGATCTTACATGTCAGGAGGTAGAGAAAGTATTAGATCTGATGAGAGATAAAATGGGGAATGACCTGAACTTGCTTATGATTGATGCAACAAGACATTTAAGTAAAGCTAAACGTGTTGGAGACCGTAAAATAAGGAGGTGCAGCGAAGATATTACAGACCAAATTAAAGACGCTGTTGAAGATGGTAAGTTTATTGAAACTGCTACATAGAATTTTCCCGATTATGCAAACAGATTTGTAATTTTATCTTAAGGACCTACTGCGAATGAAAACAAATCTCAGTAGTGTAACGATGATATCTTTGATTAAAAATTAGTTTGATAAAACTATTTGGATTTAAATAATAAACAAAAATAATAAACATAAAAATAAATATCCCTCTTAAAGCAAGCAGCTGACATTATTCACTTACAAAGCTACACAGATCATCTCGCTTCGTTCTACACTATTCTTGCTTTAATATTCAGCTAAAAATCCACTTCTAAGTGTGTGTCGCTGTCTAAATGTAACGATAATAAAATTTCTCTTAACAATAGTGGACATTTTAAACAAAAAAATCGATTTTTCATAAAGGAAGTTACTACCCAATAATGTTTAGAAGTGGTCTGGGATTAATATTTGAAAAAAATGTAGAAAAAAGTGAAGGGGTGCAATTAAAACTCAACCTGTATAACGAATACAATAGTATCTTCATTACTAGGGCATAAAGTGACTCTGTTCGACCCGAGCTAAATTTTTTTGTATCAAAGTGAAGGAAAATGATCGTGGGTTGAAAAAAGACTTTTTGTGCTCGTGTGATGGATTATAATTTTCATCATATTGCTCCATTATAAAATATGAACAAAATATGTGTTACAAAGCTAAAATAGTTTTTATTTACAGTAGCCTCTCAAAACTACTTATATCTTGTTATCAATTAAATTTGCTAATCGAAACAAGCAGCTTTTTAGTAAGTGATTCAATCGTTTCGTCCATTACGAGTGTGTTAGTGAACATAATACTACCGATATGTCCAACTATTTATAATGAGGCAACCATAAGCTACAATACGATTTAAACAATCGACAAATACTTTTGATACATGGGACTGTTTACAATCGAAATCATAACTGGGTCACTACAGGTAATCTTTACTCCCTAGGGGCTAAAACACCTTTTACTCCCTAAGGCTACTTTAGACCTGCAACGTATGCATAAAAAAAAACTGTTTTAACTATTGTGTGACAAAAAAGTACATTTCAGAGGTATGTCAACCAGATATAATAAAAAAGTGACATTGTTTGAATTAAATACTATACGAATGTATATTACACACAATGCATAGGATTTATACATAGCATTAAACTGTTTTTGTAAAACACCGAGTAATTTACTGGCTTAGTATTTCCCTGGGCAGTTAGCACCTGAATAAAATCTAGCCTTACCTTAAAAAAACTATTGTACTAGATTGTTTAACTATATCCAAGCAATTCGAAAGAAAATTATGCATAGACAGAATTTCCACCGCTATAAATTTTTACAATCAAGGTAGAAAGGTATACCGTATAATATAACCCACCAAAGCATAAAATTTAGCCTACTGGTATATGAAATGGTACTAATATGATAATTTAAGCTTTAGATACAAATTTAAATGAATAAAATGACTCAAATAAATATTTCCTACGATAAACATTTTTATTTCATTCGTGATAATGTTTATTTTAACATGATATACTTGCACGGTTTTTTACTCCTAAAATAGACTGTTTTATGATGGACCTAATTAATCTTTGGAATTGAAAATGTTTCAGGGGTTTACAGTTTCTTAAGATGCACTGCAACGTCTTCAATAGTACAAAATGACATCAGAACAGATATGAAGAAGAAAAGATTGAAATACAAGAATGCTATTAACCATACGCTAAATAGCATAGATGGCTGTTTAGTGTATAGCAATAAAAATGCAGAAACACATAGAGATCAGTGCATCGAAAAATTAATCAACGGAACTCAAATAGAAACTAAAGAAGCCTGTAAAACATTCACGGAAAGCAAATGTATGGCCCATTTCACTGATGATATTCTGAGCTGTACTTACAAAGTATTTAATGAAATAGCAGATAAAAGAGAAAAATTGTTTAATGAAATACGATCTTGCGTTGGATATCATCAAGTTTATCAAGTAAGTAAAGACATGGTCTACATTCAAACTTTACGTCAATTGGTGGAATATCCAGTTTTTGAAAGAAGATCTTCAGTTACCAAGATAAAAAACATATACAGTAGTCTAAAATTTCTAAAACATACACTTAGTTATTTCAACATGAGTGGATGGTTTTGAAATTAGACAAGTGTATGTTTTTATATACATAGTATTTGTTCAGACATTCTTTAGACAGGGTGAGCTTCTACTGACACCCATAACTTCACCAGTGGATTCTACTGATCAAAATGAACAAAAAAGTTGCCATAAACCCTAGTCCGATTCTGAAGTTTGGTCGTAATTGAGAATTTGGTATTTTCTAACACTATTGGACTTTTTTATACTATTTACTTTATAAGAATAAAACCAATTAATCTAGCGATTTATATTTAATTTATATTATATTAAAAATAATTCGAAAGGGCATTAAATTTTTCTACAAAAGCAAGGTTACATGAAAAAATATTTCATTACATACATCGGTTCCTAGCTGAATTAAAGTAAAAAATATCGTATATTAGTTATTAAGTTTTTAGACCCCTTTTTCTTACTTTATCCTGGTGCCACGCAATTTCCAACTAGATAAAAAACTTCCTCATTTAATAGGCTTTAAATTGATATGCAGTTTTAAATTGTTGTAGGTAGAAATTGCAAAAAACTACTAATTTCATGTAACCTTGGTTTTATAGAAAATTTAATGCCCTTTCGAATCATTTTTGTTATAAACCACTAATTGGTTTTATTTTTATAAAGTAAATAGTGACAGAAAGCTCAATATTTATAGAAAACAAAAAAATTCTCAATTAAGACCAAACGTTTCGGAATCGGACTAGGGTTTATTGGAACTTTTTTGTTCCTTTTGATCATTAGAATCCACTGACGAAGTTATGGGCGTCAGTAGAAGCTCACCCTGTATATCGTTTTGTGCATTTTCATTAGTTATTTATATAAGAAGAATCTGCAAACTTAAATTTTTTTTTTTACTAACAAAAATAAAAAAAAACCAATAAACATAAAGAGTAAAGAGAAGAGGACTTATAGTGTTTACATGATTCTTAAAACTTGATTTCTTTTTCTTTATTCGAACCAAGAAATTGGCCTAGAGATTTACGTGGTAAAAATATCTTTAATACTGTTTGGGTTTCATGTGTTTATTTTATCGCACTTAAATAATTTAATATTCAAAGAAATCGCTTCATCACTAATTTTGTAGTTGCTTAGAAAAGCTAGAAACGAACAACACAAACGTGAAAAGTTTATGTGTGACAGATAATAGCAAAATACTAAACTATATAGGCCTCCATTCTTAAATTGATAGTCACCTCATCCTTCAATTCCTAACATACATCTAAGTGAATGCTATTCGGTTTCTAACCACATAAAATAATAGTAGTTTCACTCTTTAAGACTATAAGTTATTCCCTTTACATTGATTTTACAATATTTTTACCCTTTACCACTTTTGTTATTTCAGAAGCAGGACAACTACGGTCCGCTATCCAAGGATGCGTTGTCATCTTTCGCTCACTTTTACAAGGCTCTCAACTTTGCGTACGATAAAAAGCTAACCGAAGCTCTGGCATATTATAGTTCACAAATTGCACGAGAGAACTATAACTTGGCAATCAACAATGAAGATTTCTATACAAGCCTACTTTACCCCTACTTTATTGCCTTAAATAAGACCTGGGAAGAAAACAGATCTGAGAAAGAGAGAGCTTGTAATTCGGAAGCTTATAAATCATTGAAAACGTATATTGCTGAAGGTAGTATTTGTTTTTCTATAATACGTTTTTCTATTTTATTGATTTAAATTTCAGTATAAGAATACTCACTTGAAAATTGATTTTTGGAAATCATAACTATTGTACAAATAAAAAACTACCAACGTTTGTTTAGCTTAGCAATCTAATAAGTAAGTTTTCTTAAACTGTTTATTAATGTTTTACCATATTAGTTTCACATTTTGTGATAATTTTTATTTTTCGCCTTTTGAAAACTATTATTAAATATTTTTAACTGTTCTAGATTTTTTATTTAATATTAATACATAAACAATAACGTTTCAGCTGGAAATGACAACCAGGAGTGCTGTGAATACTACAAGAATCAGTATATTCAAGATTTGGATACATTTAAAAACACAATCAAAACATTTAACTCAAAGCTTCAAGAAGCAGGGAATGTTGCAGTCTTAAGATGCATTGGACAAAGACCTATAGAAATCTTCAACCTAGCAACTATTCAAAAATGTGCTGCGCTAGCAAGAAAGAATATTGAGTGGGAGTGGGAAAAGGTAATGGGTGAGTTCAGAAGCTATTATTTCTCTAGATTTGCTGCCCCAAAAATGCCTGAAGAAAAGACTTGTTATGATCTAAGGCGTTCGAGATTGATACTGGATGCAGAGAAGACTATGTATAACTGTACAAGATGTTTGTTTGGCGAAAATGGGGACCATTATGCAGTGACACCGTTTCCTACTATTTATACTGACCAGCAATGGCACATGTTCAACGAGTCAATATTTAAGTTTGATGGGATCATGCGCGATTATTATAATGAGTTATCAACAACACAGCAACCAACAACAACAGAGCAACCAACACAGTATTCGTCATTAAAACCAGAAATAGAAGAAGATCATGATAGATTATGGCCATGATGTCCAGCTAACAACTATGTTAGTCTGGAGTAAGCTAAAATATTTATGTGTGTTGTATTTTATTATTTGGGCAGAATAAATTATTTGAACGGTTCTTGTTTTAACTATTTATTTAGCTCATTAATTCCTAGAACTGCTGAGTAAAAATATTAGTGTTATACTTTTAAACGGACACTATTTCAATTCGCATAAGTGTCTGATAACAAAAAGAGAATAGAGGATTATAAATTTACCATCCTATATTAGAGTATACGTAGATCATAGTATAGTAAAATAAATATCATTAAGAAATACAAATTTACTTTTTACGATGTCAACAGGCAACTTTCTTGAGTAAAATTGTTTAACTTATTTTTCTTTGCTATTTATTATTTCGTCATTGAACATTATCATTTTTCTTTATTTCACTTTTAACATTTTAAGTGTTCCTCCTTTATATTTATTAAAGCTGTTGCTGAAACTTGCAACGCCGGGTTGACCATTTGTACAATCTACGTAGGGAAATCGAGCGCATTACACCACAGTAATATTAATTTGATATTTTCAAAAGATATTGTTTTGGAAATAAAATACGGATTTAAAAAGATAATTTTTTACAATAGCAAATATTTTTAATAGTTCTTATTGTTGTTGGGAAATACGTATTCTTAACCATCTTTACAATTTTCAGTTTAAGGCATCAATTGATAATCCTATTACTTTTTATAGAATCACATGTATTTATACTTTTAAAAAGTACAATTCTATATTTTTTGCTACTTGTTTAAGTAAAAAGCATAAATAGTATAGAAGAAAGCTTTTTTCGGGACTCTTTAAAATACTTAACATTTTTTATCAGCATAATATTCAGGCATAATAGTGTAGGGGCATTTGTAAATATAGGAAAGTTCATGGGATTTTGAATGAACCAATTATATGACAGATAGGTACGAGCTATGTAGAATCGTGTAATACCGGATGTTTGGTCTGAACGTGTGGCTGAGCTGGTGTATGATGCAATTATATGTCTTTAACTAAAGACAAATTTCCAAATCAAAATAATTTAATGTTAAATGAATAAGATCCATGTCTTATTTTAGGTTTTGCTAGAAAGGCAATGTCACTGTTAGCGGCCATCTTGGAATATGACGTCACACACCATCTAGGCCACGCCACACTTTATGACAAAACGCCCGGTAGTACACGATTCTAAATGTCATTACCATTTTGTCACCGGCAATTATAAAACAATTGCTCCATTCAAAATCCCACGAAATTACATATGCCCCACAACTACAGTATAATAATTGGTACTACTGTGATTGTTGGTGAGTCGGTGGCTCAGTCGGTAGCGTAACGGACTTCGGAAGGCAGCGACGTTGTGGGTTCGGATCCTGGTCACTGCCGCAAACATTTTATCAGTACAGTTCACCTTCGTACTGTAAAGGCTCACCCCTTGCTTTGCTGGATACGTTCTACCCACAGGCAGTAAGTCTATGTGGATGGGCAAATGCAAGGTTTAAAGAGGCAGCTAAAAAAAGGAAAAAATATATTTTTTCATGCAAGGATAGTATTTGATTTGCAAACGGGTTCACTATTCTTGCAGAAAAATGTACGATTTATATGGGACGACTATTCATAATAACTGTATTTCTCGAATCTTCTCTAATATCTATTTATAACAAAGTTTTGATGTTGTAAATACATTTAAAATTTGTATCATCTGACAAGGATGTAAGAATAAAATATTTAATATACAGTATATTAAATTAGGGAAATATATTATCGAATATAACGAGAATGACATTGCATTTTTTAATTTATTCTTGTTTTGAACCAAATTGTTTTGGATTATTGAAATATACGAATCATAAATGCAAATGTAAAGCACACCAGTCCATTGCTTTACACAAGTTCAATATTTATTGAGCTTCTATGGATTTTTAATTAAAAAATCTTTAATCTCTGTGGTTATTTAGATTCTTATAGCTATAATTTCAATTTTTAGTTATAAGTGTTATTTGACAGGGTTCACTATGCTTTAAAACTTTTAAGGTGAAGGACCTCATAACAATTTATTGCAAGATTATGTTTACTAGAATTGTATTCTATGAATTATAGCGGTATTTGAATTATTATACTTATATATATTGGAAACTTAACATAGAGAAGTTTAGAAGAATAAAAAGTGATTTAATGCTCAATTTAACTTTTACCCTGTGCGAGAGTAAACAAACAAAAACTTTGTCAGCGCAATCTCTTGAAGAATATTGCACGGTGATAAAACGACAGTAAACTATTTATAATCTTACGCTATGAAGGCTTTTAAAGA